GGCTGCCTTCGTAGCAGCTGCATTGATAGTGACTTCAGACCTGATGTTGTGATTCTTAATGGAATAGGTGTGAGTGACAGATATGCGAGAGGTGCTTGCGGCTTGCTCATCTCCCTTCTGGACATTCGATTGGAATAACATGTCCATATTGAATGGTAGAAGGTATGGTGACAAGGAAAGTTTGGGGTGGGAAGGAAAATGATGCTATGTACAGGAAGGAATACGATTTCGATTTGTTGTTTTTTTTTAAGTCCCGGCTATCTCATAAATATAAGGGGAAATCATCCACCTGTTTTTGTTATCTATTTTGTCATAGCTTCCTATGTTCCTGTTCTGGAAAGCACAAATTCCTCATCACAACCTAACCGTCTGCCTAGGGTTGAAGTCTTCCTTGATATCTTGCATAGATTATGTGCTTGATGGATCATCGTTTGGTTTAGGAATTTTGCCCCTTCACACTTCATCGCACACTCTGACTCCTGAGTTTGCGTGACCACTTAAACCTTCATCGTGATAATACAGCAGAATTCAGAGCAAAGAAAGGATTTTTTCAAAGATGGGAAAGTAAATGTCAGTAAGCTTCCAGGGGAAGTTATTTCTGCAAGGAAAATTTCTTGGGTAGTTAAATATTTGACAGAACACTTAATAAAGTGGATTAAAAGCTAATGATTTACCAATTATTTATTTTATAATGGCTTTCTTTATCACCATTTGTTTATTAAAATGATGTAATAAAACTCAGCCGACTTAACCTGCTTTAAATTGGACTCGTATAATTCATCTAAATTCAGGAGTCAATTCTCACGGTTGGGAGCTACTTCAATTCCACTATTCCTTTGAGATAGCCACTCCGAAGTACCCCCAAATAAAGTTGGGTGGACATATTCTGTCCAGTAGAATTTACATACTGTCAAAGTTAAGTCAGTCAAAAATGCTTTTTGACCCTCTTTATTGCTTTGCCCAAATGAGAAATGAAAAGGTGAGGATAATAATTTATTGTTCGGTGTTTAAATGAACCAGAGTTTAATGGTTCTGCTGAATGGGTGGGTACTAAAAGTGGAATAAAAAAGTGGAGAAAAAAGAGGACTTTTACTCTCTGAAGTGATTGTGAACTATCTCTATTGATCATTCTACTTAATGCTCAAGAATCACGTCTTATTTTAATTGTGCATTATCTCTAATAAATATTTTTTAAGGTTTACAAAATTTAACTTAGGAAAATAATATGATTATAGGCTCCGTGAAGGAAATACGTGCGTATCACTAATTTGTTCCTTGGTAATAGAAAAGTGATTTTCCCTAATGACATTTTTGGTCGCTTTAATAAGTTATTGGAATTGGACCCATCTTTCAGATAGGGAAAAAGGAGTCGAGCGCTTAGTGTTTCCTAACTACGGACATCGTATAACCTTACCTTGAGCAGATTGTTGGGTAAAAAAGTCCAATTTGTTGACGAAAAAGTGCCGGGAATGTAAGACTGCTCGAAGTGTAATATGCATGAGTTATTGAGAATTTCCTTGGCAATCGCTGTAATGATTGCTGCAAAATACGTGGATTACAAAGCATGGATAGGAGTGTAAAGCTGATCTATGCAATTTGGACTTGGTAGCTTTTTGCTTTAACCTCGGCTAGCTGCAGAGGTGTGTAGTATTCTTGCCAAATTTGTGTTAGGCCTGGAAGGACCTGAAAGAAATAATTTAAGTAATTTGGTTAAGATGAAGCTAAATGCAAATGTAAATACCCTGTCTTCAGGAAGATTCGCCATTCTTGATAGTATGGAGGAGTCCTACGTACTGATTTAAGTAAATGCATGATATATTTTGTCCGGTGAATTCGTGATAGAAGTACGCTTATAAAAATTTCACCAGCATACAATAACAGGCGACAATAGGCTACAAAGGCTAACATTTTGCAGGCCCACACTTTCCTCACCTTATTACGAATGCAACGTAGTTTCATTGATCTTTGACTGACACCCGACAAATTGTGACATTTTAGCCTTACCTGTCTTTGACAAAGCGAATATCTCATTAGTTACATAACCTTTAATCATACACTCACTATCACTTAAACCCACTCCACATTTCAGTGCCATGCAGCACTTCAGCACTACTTCAACACGGCGCTGCATTGCTTCCTTCACATGCGCAAGGTATACTGGAATGGAATGCACACCTGACTATCCTCTTGGAATTGTTTACTTGCCGAGGTCCATATAACAAGTACGTCTAAAATTTCTCATACTTTGAATGATGCAATCAGATGATGTGTGAGAAAGTCTTCCCATTCTCCTGAACTAAACATCAGTAGAGAGGTAGAGAAGAAACAATAGGTATTCTCATTCCTACAAGACAGCTTAACATGATGCAGTGCAGCATCTCATATACCTAAAACTCCACAGTTCATGCCTCATGAGGTCACAAAACTGACTCGTCAGAGAATTTGCACTATAGGCTGGGATGGAGGGACAAAAAGGAATGCTCTTACATCGACCTCATTGCCATCATTTTTAAATCTTAGATAATATTCCTTTTCTTGTCAACCGAGTTCCAGAATTGCATAATCACACGCGAACTAGACTGGATATTTGGATGAGAAAAAAGCGTGATTGACCAAAATAAAGGACGTTGCGCTTACTTTGTTTACTTCTAGAAATCTTTTGGAAATGTAAATTTCATGGTAAAATATACCTCAATGAAAAAGTCTTCCACAGTGAATGGTGTTTATTTAAGCAAAAAGACTCACTAGCAAGGCTTAACTTTGCCTCTGTACACTTAATTTTTCCCTACTCCCTCCTGTGATAAAATTTTGTTATTAAGTGTTTTTAAACTACTTATATACTGAACCCCACTGCCTGATTCCTCTTTGATAAAGAAATATCATCCCACTTTTAAGCATTTATTTTACTCAGAATTCTCAACTATTTTAAAGGTGTACTTGGTGCAAATAATGTCTGTTTCCGACGGAAATAAGTCCAAAAGATGTCTAGAACATACTCAAATAAGTTGCTTGAAAATTTGGGCACCAAGACATAAAATAAAAGCCAACTTTTTTAAGCAAGGCTTTTAAAAAACTCCAGATATCCTTATTTATTTTATTAAAAAAGTTCTTAATGCGAGGAAAAAATTATTATAAATGGAATTTTTTAAGTGCAAAGCCATTATCAAACGTAATTACGGCTAACAAGTCAGGGTAGATTAAATAAATAAGTAGGCAGTGTACACTGTGTGTAAACCATCAGTTTGTCAATTAAAATTCAAAATATTACGAGGGAAAGGTAAATCAGGTGGAAAAAGCCACAGGGATTATAAGAAATTTTGTATCATGCTTTTACAGATCAGGCATCTTGCTGGTCGGTGCAAATCAGCAGGAGCAAAGACAGCCATTTGCAATCCATTTTAAAGGCAGTCAGCCTTATTCTGAAAATTTTTACTACTCTTCTGCATACTATAAGAAATATATTTTTAAATATTGCATTCGCAACTAAGTAGCGCATTTAAACTGTGACGAAAGAAATAACTACGGTGCACTTTTGAAATCAACAATGGACATCATCGTACAGTTGTTAATTTAGTTGGAAAAAGGTCTTCTCTTCTGACAGGACAGATCTCATGAGGAGCCCAAAAACAGCTGAGTGTTAACTTGTGTGACTTGGGAAATAAAATACTACTAAAGAAATGGGAAACGGTATGTGCACCATAAATTCAACCCTAAGATAACCTTAAAGGCAATTTTCATTCTTCTTTATGTCCAATAGAGGGGATAAAAGAAGTGAAGTCCTAATTTACTTGATTAAATCTCGGAAGAGGAGGAGGATAAAAAGTGGACAAGGGCAAGAAGAGACACGGTTATGAAGAAGCAGCGTCTTTTTAGAAGACAAATTACTGTTCCGCTTGCGATATGGTGATCGAGTTCAAGCTACATGGTCCAAAGTGGAGAAAAGTTAACATCGATGAGCGGAGTTGCACTATACCATAAAATGCCTTCCCATTTAGCCTGGACAACTTGCTAGTTCCGAATCCGAGTTTTGGGAAATCGGACATACTACTATTTAGAAGAAACAGTAGCTCTTGTTCAAAGCAATTTAAGAATTCGAGTGGATTTCTATCCTGAAAAGTAAACAACGTCAAAAAATTTCTTTATTAGCTATGAAAATGTGATTTGAAGGCAGTTTGATGGATTCAAACATAAGCACTACTTTTAACGACTTGTTAGGATCACGTTCAGAATTAATCACCTAAAGAAGTGGAAGAGTTGTAGCGCAGGTGGTGTGAGGTAAACATTAGGTTCCAGCATAGATGTCGATCGGTGAGGGACTGCAATAGCCTCAACCCTGGATAAGACCTTGGCAATTCTCCTGTTTTAAAAAGTTTATTCAAGACGTTAACGGTCTACCTCTAACCATTACTGTTTTTATAGCGTGAGATAGAGATCTACAATAGAATGTCTTCCTTCCTCCCTTTGTTTCTCCCATTTTGCAGTGCATTTTTCACACGAGTCAGTTTTGTGATGGGATGAGGTACGAGGATGGAATGTGAGATGCTGCGTTGCATTGTGTCCTGTTGCCTAGTGGGAGTGAGAGTAGGTAATTCTTTCCACTTGCTCCGCTTAACTACTGATGGGTATTTCAGGGAAACGAGGGGATTTTCTACGGCATTGCTTAGTTTTATCGTACAAAGCAGCTAGATATCAGGAGTAATCGTTCTTGGATTTTAGCGAGCGAGTATTTCCAAGTGGACGGTTGCGTGGGCACTCAAGTCCTGTCCCCCTAACCCATGTAAAGGAAGTACCGCAGTGCTACGTTAAAGCAGTGCTGGAGTGTTGTGTAGCACCGAAATGTAGAGTGGGTGTATGCAGTAGTGAGATGCTAATTCAGCCAAGGAGAGGTAAAGTAGAAATGTCCCAAACAGTCAGGTGTCGGCCAGTAATCAAGTGTATCTCATTGCTGGTTTAAAATGGGGAAAGAAGTGCAAACATGCAAGTTGACAGTCCTCTAAGCTTATTGTCAATTAGTAATGCATGCACTTTGATAATTGTGTGCATATAACTGTTTAATCGTCTAGGTTGCTTGTTCCTCTGTAGTTAATAACAAAGGGTCTTTATCTGTCTGCCGCGTTTTATACCGACTCATTATCCGATTCGAATTGGTTACCCCAGTTTCTTTCAGTACCGTATGAATCTGATGAGACAGTAGTAGAGAATATATGATGGAGTGTCAACGATGGCCTGACACAGGTCTCTGCTTTACAGACAGAATCGCGCATTTTACAAGCCCTTTACAATTACCATTAGTCATAGATCAAACCGTAGTAACAATAATTCAACTTTTGCCACTTAAACAAACTGTTGCTTTCCCTTGAATGATCACAGTACATTCCTGGTTCCACTGCCAAAAGAGCATCCAAGTAAGAAATCATCAAGGACAGAAAACAGGAAATACTCAGAGAAAACGGAGGTCATATGATGTTTTAACATAACGGGTAGATGGTTTCCATTTTCTGCGACATTTTGCCCTCGTTTTTACTCCTTTCCTTCATTTATGGTCACTTTAGTACTATGCAGTCATCCATTAGGGCTGTTTCTATAGTGTGGAAATCTGAAAAAGAGTAAAATTCCCACATTTATGTCATTATTATCCTTTTAATGTATGGCTTCGGCTCTTTCAATACATCCTTCGTCCTGCAACGTGTGAGGTAGTGGAACTTGTTGACCAGTCGAATTTATGCTCATTGGCTCTTCTCTTTTGCGTCTTGACAGATTTGGCTATTAGGAACAGATGTTCATCTCCAATGACGCATTTGGCGTAATAACAGGCTGCTCCGCTTAGGAACGAGGCTTGTTTGGAGTAGTAATGAAGAACATCATAAAGGATAAAAACAAATACCATAGCACTGCTAAATTTTATTCTCTCCCACTAATCACCTTCTTCCCTCATGATATGGAGTTTCAACTACTCCACTCCTTTGGTGTCTTTTAGAATCTTACCCCAGAAGATACAAAGTGCACTCGAAAGAAACGTCAAATTTACTTTTGTTGGGGGAAATATTGGACTTAAACTACAACGCTAGGGAAGATCACACCAGAAGCATCCCTTACATTGAGTCGATAAAACTACCTCGGGGAGGAGGGGAGGAAAAGGAAAAAATCCCACAGATTGGTACTGACTTTTCGTGAGGAATGCCCCATTCGTATTAAAGTGTAAACTTTAGTGAAGAAGATAAATAAGAGACAGAGGTCAAAGTCTCGTGCACCATTCGATTGTAGACTCAATAATTTAAATCAAACACACAATACAGATGACTCATTTGCTGTCCTGTTGTTATCACTTGTCACGGTGTCATTAGTCATGCCTGTCCCTTACCATCTGTTACCTCTCAAGGGAGTGGTGGGGTGGGAGGCGAAGGAAAGCGCAAATTCGCCCCTTCGCCTAATTCCTCCCAAAGGCCAAGAGGCTTCGCGTGTTGTGTCGGTGTTTTTGTAGGTGTGTGTGCCGTCCTCCTTATCAGAAGGTGAAGAAGCAGTAAGCGCTAATATTATCAAGGCATCCAGGCATTAAGTTCCTTTCCTTCCATTATGTAGAATTCGTTAATTTGTTAACAGGATAACGCCTCTAGCGATACTAGATATTAAGGAATTTTAAAAAGACTCCAAAAAGTGCCTTTGTTAAATCGAACACCATTACAGCACCTAAAGTATATTTCTTTCTCAACGAGGCCCAAGCTTGCAGCAGGGTCCAACTCTATGCAGGGTTTTATCTAACTGGAGCCACTTCCCTTTCTATTTACCTTCAAATGTCTATTCTCTTTTGGAAATGATTATGAAAATGTCAGCTATCAAAAGGTAATCCTTATCACTTCAGAAGCTATCATCGGGAAGATAAAGGCAAAGCAAAACCCTCTTTTTGCCCATCTATTCAAAAACGTAGAGCTTCTCTTAGGTCAGTTTTGCAGTATTTATTTGCGTAGAATGCCTTACTTTGGCTTTAAAAAGCAAGAATATTGCTTTCTTTTCACTAAATGCCTGGTCTTGGCTTTTCTGAATAAGTAGGAAATTTTTCTTACACGTCGTTGCATTATAAAGTGTTTCCAATATGAATCTTAAGCGCTATTGTTGAGGCCGCAGTAGGTGGGCAACAAGAGTGAAAGGATAGGTTCTTCATTGCACCACACACCTACCAAAAAAGAGAGTAGATTTTGGGCGATGAAGACGTGAACTGTGGAGTGAGTAGTAAGCGGATCCGTTGAGACTAGTAGGTGGTATATAAGCTTGATACAAAAGCCTTTCCTTGTTACAACTCAATCAACAGAAGCAGTTTCCTAAAAACTGCAATTTTGTAAGGAAAAAAAAGCTATAAGTCACAAACTGACAACAATTTGAGAATTTGGTTATCTATTAATGCGTGTGGATGGGGTTTACTTGGTAACCAGCTGCTAAGAACTTAACATTCTGTATAGGTGTAAATGACTTGTTTGGGCACTCATGTCAGAGCGTATTGAAAGTCCTAGCCTTGTTAATCTTGCAAAGAGGAATAGTTGCCGTGTTTTATCCAATAGAAACTGCTTTAGGTTAACTTTTTAAAGTGTCTGAGAATTTTGACTAATTTTTTATGGCTAGTGATTGCCATATATGATACCCTTTTTATGGAGCGTTAACCGGCCTTGAGCAGTATGAAACCGGTGCATTTCCCTTCGCTAACACGGGTCATTTGCCGAACAGGAAAAAAACTTCAGCTGCAGCGGAATTGACGAGATGCATCAAATATCATCTCACATGCTAGAGGATTTTATAGATGGCATTGCTAGTTTGAGGTGGTCTCCAAAGCCCCTACTACAATGTGATGACCGATGTGGGAGGTTGTCAAAGGAGAGCGCAGTGGGCTGTGCGGGGAGGAGAATCTGTTTTGTGATTTGACGTCTTGTTTGGATACGCACGCGTTCTTCTGTCTCCTCCTGTTGTATTTCCTTTCGCCAGCATGACCTTTGGATCAAAATCGCACAGATCCATTTCTCAATCCCCTAGTATTATACAAAATCACAGTCTTTTAACTTAAACACGATCTTTGGATTTATGCAATAGTCTACACTCAAACAGTTAAGATGGATGTCAGGTCCCGGATTGAGGTTTTAGGCTATACTAAAACTTCTTTCCCTTCCTATAGGGTTTTTATGACCTACGAGGGAGCCAAAACTGCACGATGCTTGCATCTTCATTGAATTAGCCCCCCGACATCTTCAATAAAAAAGACCCTTTGGCTACTTTATTCGAGGCCTCATCGAAAAAATCGCTAATGTGACAATCCGCTGTGCCAACGACTAGTTGTTTATAGTTTTATAAGTTGTGCTTTGCTTTTTTATAATACCAACTTCTAATAAATTTTCTACACTTTCTGTTTAAAAATTAACGATAAATTCATTATTTCTCCATAAAAAAGTAACAATTGCAGGACTTCATTGGAAGTCGATTTTAACCGATCAAGGACGCCTAAATTAAATAGAAACGAATGCTTGTCTGTCAAAACCCAAAAAGAACCTGTTGCATTATATATCTCTTTTAATATGACAAAGGATGAGGCAGAAGGTGAGGTTCATCCGAAATAAATCCCAAGAAGGACGGTCAACTCTCTTCAATACCGTCTAGTTTGTAACTGATAAAGTGGAATATTTTGGTGTTGCATGAGGACCACTATATGCCTGGTAAAAGATTTAATCACCTTAAAGTAACAATGAATGACTTCTTTATTTAACAATAAAAATAGGGAAAAACTGAAGTCTATAAAATTATTAGTCTGTAAAGGCTGTTAAAAAATTCCATGGCAAAGACCTGGGTGATTTCTGGAAAAAATGGAAGATTAAACATAACATTTGGCACAATTAAACATATTTTGACAGATTTTATAGAATTAATGGAGACCTTTAATCATAAATTATTTTACAAGTAAAAATGATGTGAGTTATTCGAGAATAACTCTTTACCGTCACCCACTTGCAGGCTGTAAAACCAGAGTTACCCTATTTTTTGTGTCTGCAACGCAGGTCTGTACATTGAATGCACAAGAGGTTTTTGCCAGCCTCTTTTCTCTTTCTCTCTCTCTCGCTCTTGCCCGAATTTGCCATTCGGCTGCTACTGCATTCCTTGCCAAACATGAGCGGCGAGTGAATTGGTTGCATTGCACGATAATTAGCTACACCAAAAAATATTAGACAGAATGGAGGCGAAAAGGCGTACCAGTACATATTCTGCTTGCACTCAAAGAAACGAAAAATTGCAGAGAGAGGTAAGAAAAAATTTGTAGAGGTCCGTAGGTATCAAGGCCGTTTCTTAACCAAGTGAGATTTTTGTGGCTCCATAGAACGACTAGTTGAGGTAAAGAAAATTAAGCCAATCATGTCAAGGTACCCTTATCCTCAGTGTACGGCGTACTGATTTGTTTGGATTTAATGTCATGAAAGAACATCTACAGAAAAACTTTTCCTTCCCACAAAATTAACATGCTAGCAGCCATGAAAGGATTAGTGGAAGCATACATCAGGTGAGAATGTGGTAAAAGTCGAACATAGTGGTGTTCTGTAGATGAAAGCGATCTCCAAAGCGGGCCATTATCTTTTTTTCCATCATGTAATGATAAAAGATGCCTTTGGTTATTTCTGTCCCAATCTACTTTTGTTCTCATGTATTAAAAGTAGACACCACGGCCTCTCCATAAAACTGGAATTTGTAAATGTAATGCATTCCAGAGTTGTTTAGTGAAAAACTGTGAGGTCAACCAACTCGATGCTACTTAAAGGCATGTAAAGTGGAGGCAGGGCTAAGTTAACAGAGGGAAGAAATCTCTTAAAAGAAAACGCAAGACCTCATACCATGCCGCATGCTTTACAACTGACCCCGGGCTAGATTTTCACTATGGTTAATACCGCCTCCTCCATATTACCGTCCTCATCCCTTGAATTCTCCTGATTATGCCCCTTTCTTGGTATTTGACGACCTCATATTCGGACATTTGGGTAAGAAATATCAGTGAGGTGAAAACGAAGGTTGATTAGAGCTAGAGTCTTTCCTTCTGGAGTCAAAAAACCTATTTATTTGGCAATCCTTTGTGTACTGCCGAACAATTAAAACACACCTTTCGGCAAACTGCGCCACCACTTCGTGATACGAGACAACTTAAGCACATCATTTGAGACGTCTAAAGGGTAAATCTGCCAAAATATCGAAGAAATTGCTTTTAATAACAAATTCGCAGTAAATTTTTGAAAAAATGGGACCAAATAAGTTTTTTGTATTAAAATATAGTTATTTTTGAACAACGCGCTAACAGAGAAGTGCACTGACTCAACCGCCTTTTCAAGTTTCATTTCACCCTAGGAACATTTCATTCGCAATTAATGCATGTAGTACACTTTGTCAGCCCTTTCTGATGCACAGAAGGCGAATTTTTGCATAAAAAATAAGATGTTTGTTAAAAAGTGGAAAGTTTTTATCATTTCCTTCCCCCAGCTGACACAACACGACTTCAAAAGTGGACGCGCGTTTACATTTGTGTGGTGCAGCTGTTGGTTACTAATGCATTTGCTCTGTCAAAACATTGACAAAGAGTCGTCAAATTTTTTGAGGGCATGCGAGGCGTTAGGGGAAGAGGAAAAGGCAAAGGGGGGGTTCCAGGCAAAATTTTGACAAAACACGTCTTTCTAGGGTGTTAAGTTATCCTTCATCGTGACTCACGACCAACACTAAACCACGTATAATGATGCTGCTTGCGTCCTCGCCTGTCCTACCTTAGTTATGCAATTATGAGCTGCATTATTTTAAGGTGTGAACTTAAAAGTAAGCCATTTGTCAGATTATGAGCTCCTATCTTGCACGATGGCAACGAACCCCGACAAAGAAACGGGAAATGCGATTACATCAGATAGTGCTTGATCACGGAAACTTCGATGGATGACCTCTACAACATCTTTTGCATTAAAGTGAAATAAAGATTAAACTTATTAGTTATTTTTACTAGTCTGATTCTGCCTCATTTACCTCCTTCCTCTTTGTTAAGGCTTCCAAATTGCTAGCTACAGCAAGAGGTTTTTTCGTTATAACTCCATTATAGCCTTCAATAATTCGATGATTCTTTTATGTGTTTACTTGAATCATTAGGTTACGGACTCACTACATCCATATTTATGGTGCAGAACATAGGAATGAGGTGTTTCGTAGGCCTTTTATAGCCTCTCTTATCACCATCCAACTTCACAGGTAGAAATACTGGCGTTTTGCCTATGTCTAGGGGTAGTTTTCTCCCTCTTTAGAGGGAGAAAGCGGCTTTAGTGATTTAGGGAGCTTGAGATTACCTAACACCGCTTCTGTTGTATTTCTGCCCAGTTAGCCATCCATGAGAAATGGATTTCTGTCCCGAAGTCTTCGTGCAATAACTAACTGGGTGATTTGAAGCATCAGTGAAAGTTGCCATAAAAGGAGTGGAAAAATCTCTTAAAGATATTAAAAAGGCATCACGCCTTTTGTAATCACATTAATGACTTTCAGACACTTGGACCCTTATCTTCCATTTAAGACCAAATAAAGAAGCCTTTTAATAATGCATCATTTATGACAGTCGTACCTTAACTTAAAGTGAAGGCATCTTCATGCATTTTGTAGGGACATCATATGGCCATAAAAAGCAGCTTTTTGCCCTTAATCAGTTAAATTGCACCCAATCAAGACTCACATAGGGTTCAAAAGCAGTGTTGTGTACTTTTTCTTTCTCACAAATCAAACAGACACCAGATGGTATAAAATGGCTAAAAATTAATTAGTTATTCAGAAAACATGTTTCGGAACGCTCGGTCAAAAATAGGTAGTTAGGTTAGCAAGGTTTCGAGTTTGTTTTTGATAATATGAAACTTCTTTTCCATTGAAGAGCAGCCATGAAGTAATGGGAGAGCTTGGAGCAATACCTATCCACACGTTACTTATGTAACTTCACAAATCACCATGACAACGGGTATTTTCCTCCGCTACATCCATTGTCAATCTCCCATGTCTTAATGGACAGCCCGCCTTTTTCACTTCCTTAGGCATAACAAAAAAATTTCCGCCACGTTTTAGCGCCTTTTTTGACAACAGGTATCTCAGAATGTAAATGAAGTACTGCATAATTGTTTTGCTCCTTTTTTAAATCCTAAATAAAAATGCTAAAAGAAATTCTGGGTAAACCGCTTTGAAGAGCCCTACTTTATTCATTTTGAGGAATCCTTTTTAAAGGATATTAAGGAGTATTCGGAATAGTTGGATTTGCCATTAGGATTAAAATGTTTCTTCCAGATTTTCAGAAAATTCAGATACATTTTACCAAAGACGAAAGCAAAAGATTTGAATTTAGCCAAGTAGAAAACGCAAGAAATTCGATGAGTGATAGATGCCTTGTATCGTCCACATTGCCAAATGATTGCCGTGGAATGGGAGATACCGGAACAATTGCCCAAGTCGAATAATTTTTCAAGATTTTAAGAAGATGCATCATTAAATTAAGTCGTTAAAATTAAATTGTTTAATTAGTTATTTATTGGTTGCGCATCCTTTGCTCTAAGGATTACGTGACACTACGACTAATTAATTCCAGAAATTGGTACTTTACTTAAGCTAATTTAAGAATTTCAGAACATTGATGGAAGAACATGCTGCTTACTAGTGTAGAGAAGTCCTAGTAGGCCAGTAGAATGGCCCATGAAGGCTATTTTACTGGGTGGCGGAAATACCTACCAAGTTAACCCCTCCGCCATAGCCAGGCCCACAGTTAAACAAGACAGCTAATCTTGTAAATGTAAATGTAAATAGAGTGCAACCACTTTAGTCATCTTTTTTTAAAATTCCTTTTTTATTCAACAAATATCAGTTAACAGTGTTTCATTTTTTGAGTATTAGTTTAAATACATATGCTTTATTCTTGAGAAAATGGTCATATCACCCGTAAAGGTCTGTGTGAGAGTAGATGTTAAGGAAAGACACTTCCTGAACCATATCGTCTAAAAAGAAAAAAAATCCCCTATTAAAAACAAATTTATATGCTTGAAGGGTTTAGACAGCTGTTTACTGATAATTTGTTGCTTTTTATTTTTTGGGGAGTCCCAGCTACTGCGCCGGCGGAAATAGCTAATGTTGCGTGAGGTAACGTAGTATGTTTCCACCAGTTGTTTGAAAAATCGAGCCCAAATAAAACTAAGAATTCTTAAAATTTTTTAGCTAATGAAACAATCCTCAGTTGAAGGTATAAGCCTTTTTAATGTGGCGTAGGATTTCGTCAGCCCTATTTACATGAAAACTTGTCTCCCAGAAAAAACCCCTCATGAGCACTGAAGAAAGCTTGTCCGTGTCAAATTGATTCTCACTTGTTCTCTAAAACCTAATGCATTTCTGTTTAAGTGATTTGTCAAAGATGAGAGGGGAGGGTAAGAGAGAAGAGAGTGAAAAGGAATCTAGCCAATATAAACTAGTTAGAAAGAATTCTTCACTTCTTCACTGCTCTTCCCTCTCTAAGTGCTTAACATAAAGAAATTGGAAGGACTTTTAGAGATTCAAAAGCTAGTTAAAATTAGTCGCCAGGTGAATGGTTGGCCTATTGGACTAAATTCTTCTGATAGGAAACCTTAAAAGGAGAGGAGAGTAGGAGACAGTACGTCAAAGTATGCAGCAGTGACAAACAGACCCTCACCAGCTTAAAGCAAGTCATTTCAACATACTTTACCGACAACCACAGAGCTGGGAAAGACAGATGAAGCCAGATGACTAAAAGAAATGATAAAAGGATGGGCCGCACTTTAATTTCTTACACTGATAAGTTTCCAGAAGTTAGCAGAAGCAAGTGGAAATGACTTCGTCTTACGAATAATTCCTTTAGGCCGAATCGGTCACTTATAAGGGGAATCCCTTTAACTGAAACTGATTTTTACAGAGGCTGCTCAAACAACAAAGTGCTAAAAATTCTTGAAATACAATAGAGAACATTTGTATTCATCAAACCCTCCCCCTTGGTAGTAATATTCACTGGACGCCAATTAATACCTGAAAAAACGGAAAAGGTGGGTTAACTTTTTGGGCTTTGAATGAACTCACTTTTTCGACTTCAGGAATTATAAGTTATTTGGATAGAACCCCTTAAAAAGCGAATTCTAATTTGGCTAGCCCAAGATGCGAAACGGTAGTTTGGAGAACTACCTCGATGCCCTCGATTTTGTCCAGAAAACGCTCTCAAACCGCGAATAAAAGTAAATCAAGCCAGGAATCCTTGTATTTTATTCGAAAAACCAGCAAAGTGTACAAATTATTAGAACTCTAATCTTTTTCTTTGATAAGATTGAGGCCTCCTTGCCTCATAAGAACTGCATTCATGCTTTGGTCCAAGCGCGGAAAGATATCCAGATGGAGGAGGACTACTACCTTGATGAAAAAGTTTTCTAACTCATCACATCGTCCTCTTAAAAACCTTTTATTTCGCGAGTCAAAAAGTGTTGCGCAAGTGTTGATTGTTGCTATCAGCAAAATTATGGCCTTATTTGTTTAAACACACGACAACCCTTTGTTTAAAATCTCCATTTGGATGGGACTAGGCTCATTATAAATGGTAGTAGCGCATAAAGAGAAGAATATCCCTTCCCTTTCCTTCTACATTTGTGATCTTGTCTTAAAATTGGCTAAAACCTATCGTCCCTTGTGATATTATCCCCTAATCACAGGGTTGTTTGCTTCAAACTTAATCTTATAGACGAGGTCACCCTCTCAAGAAAGATGGGGTAAAGAAACAGACCAGTGGTTGAAAGGTAGAGATGGTTACAAGAAGGAGATAATGTATCATCACATAATGTGGTGTAGGTATCTTTGTCCAAAGGGAACAATGCGCGAGTCAATAAAACAGCCATAAGCCCGATTAATCTTCAGATGTAGCCATGACATGCATTTTCCAGATGGCCTTTATTCATGTCGCTTGTAATATGTCTTACAGCTCGTGGGCATTAAATGATCTTTCTTATTGTTAGGTTGGCTGTTCCATACCTCTTCAGTATCAGACAAGGCCTAATTTCGGACTCGGAAACTATCCGATTCCCTTTATTTTGTAGATAAAATTAGAGAGAGTAGTCTGCCCATTCATGCTTTATTTTAATTTCTGCCTGAAGGCTTATACCACTTATTTAAGTTGACCAATCTGCTAGTTTGATTTGTCAAAGACTGTGTGACAAAACTTTTATCCAAAGATGTTAAAATAAAAAAGTGAAGAACTCTTGAATCATGCTTCATAAAAGGCAGCGTCAGTGGATAGATTGTCATCGAAAGTTAAATTGCACCAAAATGAAATCCAACTGTTTGGCTCTGCCAAAATTAATGCTTGTGCTTATTTCCGGTGCTAATAACATCTGTCTCACTATGCCAGACATTTGGGCAGACAGCGAACTACGTGGGGAGAGTAGAAGCAGTGGGCGACATCGCACGCGAATCAGGTCCCAACTTGTTTAAACAACACTTAGGCTCAAGGAGCTAGGCGAATTTTTGGAGAGAAAAAATAATTAAGACTTATGTTGCATCTTAAATTGTACAAACAAGTTATAATTAATTGTCGAAAAGTTTATCTATTTTCGATTTTTTGAGGAGAAAATAGACGTTTTGCGACTTATTTTTACCGCTTGGTAAGCCGGCTCACCACTGTCAGAATCACTAAAATTTCCCCTTGAATAGTTTCCTTTGTTAAGGCTTTCCAAAAAATAAGTATTCTGACGAAGAAACACAAATGCGCAATCAATTTGTTTAGTCCCTTTTAAGAAAAGTTCTTTTTTGATTATAGCGTAAAAGGTGTCATTGGATAAGTAGTTGGCAGGTCAGAGGATTGCCTCATTCATGTGAGCACAAATGATAGACTTAAAAGTGCTAAGGTAGTTGATCTAAGACTTGTCGTTTTGAAGAAAGCACAAATTCATTTCGTATTTGTCAACTGAGAGCTGTTATCCACCGCTGGCCATTTCGACATATGGGGTAAAAGGAGCTTAAGACATGAGGGTATGCTTGTTAGTGAGGTCACAGAAAAATTAGGTGTAAATCCTAAATTCGCTGAAAGTGTCCGAAATAGAACGGGACTATAATTTACTATAACATTAAGGTGGAAAGAATTAGGATCCAAAAATGCCTTGACATAGCAGTCGGTGTATCCTAATTCAGCTTCCACAATCGCAGATCAAGATGAATGACCTGAAAGGTAACATCTAAAGCCGAGCATTGATATCTGTTTCCTTATGTAAAATCGGACTTACTGAATAGGGTATCTGAAGATTAACAACGGCAAATAAGGGCAAGAATTACTATGGTCAAAAATGCTTTATATTCAAAAGATAATTGGATAACTGGCTAGTATTTTCGGACATGACGTTAAGTAGTCTGTAGTTTCTTTGACTTAAGTTATGGAGTACTTTATGCAAATTTTGGTAGAGCTTGCTGAAAGGACCCGTTATTTCTTGCAGACAGCCACGAATTGTATGCCATTGTTTACTAAGCATCAGAAAGGAGAGATGTGCATCGGTTTATCGGTACAGCACCCTTCGTTTTATCCTCTCCTAGTTTCCTGATGTTTGAAGTGTCACATTATGGAGTACCATTTGAACCAGGTAAAAAGGATAAAATCATGTCGGCTTTACAACGTTAGCTTCCATTCCAAAGGTGTAGAACCTTCTATCACGCCTATTCGAGAGCATTTTGAGAAAACACCTCTAGTGATAAGCTGTTCCTTTCTTGATCATAACGAATTATCTGACGTTAATGAAAATAATAGTAAGGAACAACTCGTTTTCCTTCCGGAAAAATCAAGGCTGAGGCAGGTCAACTTTGAGCTTATTGAGCATACTTCCTCTTAAGAAAGAACTAATAATGTCAGGCCTAGTCCCCTTCGCAAACATGATTTGTACAGAAGAAGGGAACTACTACCTTAGCCTCATCCATTTTGCTCTTGGGATGACATTTATTTAAGTGGTGATTGTTATGATTTCTTGACAAAGTAGGTAGGTGGAAAGACAAGTGAGGTAGAAATATAGGTGGCTGGATTATATGCCTCTAGAGGCAAAACGTTTATTGTAAGTAGTTTCATTGATAGAGCAGCAGAAATGAGTTTCTTTTACAGCTTGTTAATTTTATTCTCATATACTTAAAAAAAACTATCCTCTGCTCATTGTCCAAATCCCACATCACCCCTCCAACCGTAGTTAATAAAGGAATAAAAAAATCGCCTAAACTTCCCCATTTCTCAGGTAAAAGATTTCTCTACCGCGGCAATTACCCGTAACAATCGCATTACTTCTAAATCCTTCTTTTCCTTCTTCCCAACCGAAAAGTTGCACCTCCATTTATAGCGTTACAAATGGGATGAAAATATAACGGGCGTGTGTCTGTGTGGGCTTACGTAAAAAGGTTCGCAGGAACAAAGTAAAGAGAGACTAATGGGTTCAAACACAACAAACCATTAAAATTCCACCATTATTGTTAATTTATCTCCGTAGGCTTTGCTTGGGAAATTTCCTTAGTCAAACTAGTTGTATACCTGTGGATGTAAGTACAGGAACTAATTTGTGAGATTTTTGCAATGTCGACACCAAAGTCACAAATTTACATGAATTAGGGAGACTTTAATACTCTCTCCTAAAAATGCCCTTTACTTTGCCTCCCTTCCACCCAGCATAAGTTTAGGTATGTACAAAAGCTCCGTAGTCAGAAAGTAGGGCACTTTTTCTCCACCTTTAGCTTAACGCTTGTCATTTGCTGTACCAAAAAGGCATTAAAGTAGTCAGAGTTTAAAATGGAGCTTAAACGTTTTAATTCCGTGAAATGAAGGGTAGAATTATCAAGCCAAATATAGGTAATTACATGTTTCCCTTAGTCTGCCATGAAATCTAGAGAAAAAGGAATGCTTTAAATTAGGAAATCGGTATCTCCAAGCTTTACTTAGGCATTTTTGTTGCACTCCTCACAAAACTCCAATTTCAAGCTCTTGGATCGAGAAAATTGGATAGAGGAAGGGATCGTAAATTGTGTGGCATAGAACGTAGAAGTTTACTGAGGATGAAGCGTGTTCTCCACCATCTTTGAAATCCGGCGACGTCCTCCCAGCTCCGAAGTTAGTTCCATCCGACCATGTGTCAATAAAAAGGTAGCCTAAGTATAGTTATTTTTTCCTCTCTTCCTCCCTTCCCTTTTGTTTTCAACTATAAATCCTAAAATCAAACCCATTTGGCGAGATTTGATAGTAAATATTTGGTTTTTTTCCCCTTTTGGCTAAAATATTTTGATGAATCAAGAAATGGTCAACTTGAGGAGACAAAAGATTTACTACCAAAAATGAGAGAAGTTCATCAATCACCTGCCCATTTCAAAGCATACACCGGATGCAACTTTGTTCATCGTCACATACATAGAAAAAATTTTTTAGACAGTTTTTTATTAGTAAGTAAAATTTTGAACATCTTCTTAATTAAAACGCAACATATGTTGAAACAGTTGGCGTGGTGATGCTAATAGCTTTTTTGAACCTTGTAATGGCAGAGGATTTTTTCTCCAATCCTTTACCTCTGTCTAGCTTTTAACACGGTGCAGTTTCTAGAATTTATGGAATAGTTTCCATCCAACTGATTTATGGTATTTTTTGAAGCCAAAAAAGTAATTTTTTAATTAAACCACGTCTTTATTCATCTGTATGAAATCTTTCTGATGCTTTTATACCTAATTACGTGGTTCCAGATGAGAGATGAAGAGCCAAAAAACGGCCTTTGGTTGGCGGATCCGGAACATCATGAAACGATGGCATCTACCGTAGATGGCTTGAGGCGTCGAAAATGAAGGACACAACACCTTCTCTGCAATGGTATCACCATCAATTCTGCATTGTAGTCGGTTAAAATTCATTGGTTTGATCGCTGTAGCCCATTCAAGGAGGAGAAAGAAAGGGGAGGGGGCTCTTAGGGGCGTTCAAAAGACGAATAGACTAATTTATTGTGTAATGATTTAATGTGTTGCTTAATTACCCAGGTACTTGGGTTCTTACAGGTTATACCTCCGGACAGTGATAGGGCCTATTAAATTACATGGAATCTTCAGTTTAGCAGGTTGTGCTTTCTTCTCAGTGGTATGACCTTTTGTGGGTCAGCTCTTCTGTGCACCAAAAACTAACCTTTCCTCAGTACTGACACACCTTATTCCGGCTTTACGGCAGACCAAAATGTTCACAGGCAAACTTAATTTGTAAAGTAAAAAGTTTCTCAACTGCGGCTCCTTTTTTTACTACACCAAAATGAAAGACCAAAGAGACTTAAACTACTTCCCATTTTAATAAATACCTGAAGTAGATTCGTTGTGATGGGATAAAAAAATGACATACAACAAACGGATTGGGAATGGGTGGGAGATCAAAGCTCAAAAATTCCCTTGACTAT